TCTGCTCCTCGGTGCCACTCATCATCATCAGCAGCAGCAACGGCGGCAACGGCGGCAAACGCATTAGCAGGGCACATTTGTCTCACACTAATCTGATGTTTGACTTTCTTCTTTCCTTTTCCTGTTTCCTCCTGTTTTTCAAATATTTTTCTCAATGCTTTCTCTCTCTCTTNTCCTGTTTTTCAAATATTTTTCTCAATGCTTTCTCTCTCTCTTTTTGTAGGAGTCGTCGCCTGGGCCATCAGCGCCGAGGTGGTGATGGGTGCCAAGCGAGAGGCAGCCCGCCGTCATTCGGATTCCTCCTCTCTGAGACTGTCCAACAGTGTAAGTAGCAGAAGTAACAGTAGTCTTTTCCTCTCCTCATCTTTTGCCTCATCTCTGCCTCAATTGTGGCCAATTTGTCATCTGGCTACTGCTGCTGCTTGTCACATTACTTGAACCACTTTTTCCTCTTCTTCTTTTATTTATAGAAATTTGACTACTCTAAGTATCACCACGTTCCCGTGAACTCGTTGCCGTCCAAGGAGATGCTCGTTGACCCTAAGCATCTTGCGNACTTGAACCACTTTTTCCTCTTCTTCTTTTATTATTTATAGAAATTTGACTACTCTAAGTATCACCACGTTCCCGTGAACTCGTTGCCGTCCAAAGAGATGCTCGTTGACCCTAAGCATCTTGCTACGAGCACCACCACCGGCGACCACAACACTGCCAACAACCAAAATTCTGCCGGGTTGGACTTTTTCAACCAGAAAATGGAGGAAATGGGCCACGATCTAATGATGCGTAAAATGGGTACTATTGCTAGCTAGCTAGCTACTCTCAACTACTTTCTCCTCAAAGGAGTCATCATCAGTGAACTAATTACATGCTACTCTTTCTTTCTTTTTTTCCATCTTGTTTTGCTTTCTGCTTTCTGCTTTCTGCTTTCTGCTTTCTCCAGACGAAGATCCGGCTACCGAGACGGCCGCAGCAGCAGCAGCAACAGCAGTCGGCAAAAGTGGCAGCAAATCGAGACAGGCGAGCAGCGTAAGCGCAGGAGTGAGCGCCGAAAAGCTGAAAGAGAAACTGACGCAGGAGAATATAGCGCAGCTAATTGAAAAGCTCCTCAGCGCGCACAAGGGGCTCGGCGGTGCTGGGGCGAAGGCGCCGCAGATTGTCGTCCTGGCGCCGGGCGCCAGCAGTCAGCAGTCAGCAAAGAGGAACGCCACCAGAGTCCAGGCCTCCTCCTCCTTGCTGGAGACCAAGGTGACCACCAACAAGCCGAAAGCCTTCAATCTCAAAATGTCACCCGCAAAGGAGGGAAAAGAGGAGCGAAAAGCGGAGAAGGCGACCAACAGCAGCAAGTCTTCTTCGGCGAAAAGCAGCAGCAGCAGCAGCTCATCGTCATCAAACAAAAAGAAATCCTCCTCCTCCTCCTCGTCGTCTAGCAGCTCTTCGACCTCATCAAAGCGCCGGCCGGCTAACTCTGCCAGCAAGGCAGCGAGCAAATCAGCAGCAGCAGCAGCGGCAGCAAATCAGGCGGAAACGAGCACAAAGACGAGCATGACGGCGAAATCGGGAAAAAATTACAAAACAAAGATCTATGAGAAGGAGATCGATTTGCTGATGCAGAAAATAGAAAAGCTCGAAAAGCAGCAGAACATTAAAGGCAGCGGCAGCGGCAGTGATCATCATCATCAGCAGTCAAAGGATGTCAACATCCCCGACAAGGTGGCCAACAGTGATCTGCTCAGAGGACGACCATCGGACATTGCCAACAGACTGAAGGGATTTCTCGCTGGTGGTCCTGCTGCCCAGGAGGCCGCTGATAGTTACCACCACTCTGGCTACCAAGCCAATGATTGGCAGCCAACAGGAGGTGGTGGTATGCCACCGCCGCCACCACCACCGATGCCATATATGCCCTTCATGCCACCACCACCACCACCACCGCCTCATTATGGCCCTGAGGGAGGTGATCCGAGTCATTATCAGCAGCCACCACCACCTCCTCCTCCACCTCCTCCACAATCCTATGGTCCTAATGGTGAGCCAATGCAGATGGAGCCCAGCTACCAGGACCAGTACCAACAGCAGAGCCAGTATATGCCTCCACCACCACCACAGCAACCTTCAGGACAGTATGATCAGAATCAGCAACAATACCAACAACCAAACGGCGCCCCACCACCACAGCAGCAGTATCAACAGCAGCCATCACCTCCTGAGTACCAGCAGAGGCCAAATGGAGAGTCAGACCCAAACAGCCAGCCCAATCACCAACCGTACCCCGTTTACGACGGCCCCCCAATGGAAAGTCAGCCATCGTCTTCCAACAAACGAAAAAAGAGCAACTCTCTGCTGGGAAAGTTCAAGCTGAGCAACATCCTCAACTCGGTCATTCCAAAGAGCAAAAAGTCGAAGAAGCAGCACCAGCAGCATGAGCAGCAGAAGCTGAGCATGACTGACAATCGAAACATTCACGTTTCAAATGGTGGTGGGCCGCCGATGATGGAGCCGATGATGACGCAGGAGTCGCACATGTACCCGAATGTCGATCGCGGCCAGTACGCCGCCGTCGAGCAGCCCGGCTTCTCGGTCAACTTTGGCGCCGGACCGATGGGCGGCGGCGGACAGATCAAGGCCAGTCCGATGGGCATTCTCAAGAGTCTGATGCTGCCGCTGACGGGCATTCCCAAGTGGGTCAACGGAAAGGTCGTCCTCGGCATCGTCCTCGAGAACGGTATCGGCAAGAAGCCCAAGACCGTCTTCCAGCNATGATGGAGCCGATGATGACGCAGGAGTCGCACATGTACCCGAATGTCGACCGCGGCCAGTACGCCGCCGTCGAGCAGCCCGGCTTCTCGGTCAACTTTGGCGCCGGACCGATGGGCGGCGGCGGACAGATCAAGGCCAGTCCGATGGGCATTCTCAAGAGTCTGATGCTGCCGCTGACGGGCATTCCCAAGTGGGTCAACGGAAAGGTCGTCCTCGGCATCGTCCTCGAGAACGGTATCGGCAAGAAGCCCAAGACCGTCTTCCAGCACTTTAGCACTGGCCGAATTCGCAGATAAGTAACAGTGGACGCCACACAAACAGTCTGTTTTCCTTTGTCATCATCATCGCCATCATCATCATTCTGATCATCACCATCATCGTTCTCATATCTTTTTCCTTCTTCTCATCATTTGGTGTTGCCAGACGGCACTAAGCAAATATCATCGACCCCTACTTCTTCTTTTGCTGCCTTTCACTGCCTTCAACTTCTTCTCATTGCAAGCCCTAGACTGGTGCTAGGCTCGCTGTACACACTTGCACCACTTTTATCTCTCTTTTATCTCTCATCATTGCATCACTCTTTTGCTCACAGCCACACAAACCCTTTGCTCTCATTACCTCGCACCTGACTGCCCCTCCTCCTCCTTTCCCCCTCCTCCCATTTTTCATCTCGCATCTTTTCCCTTTTGTTGCCATTTACTCCCCGCCCCTCCTTCTTTCACAGACTCCATCTACTCTCTTTACTTTTTCTTTCTTTTGCTTCTTTCTCCTTGTACAAGTCACTTGTGATAGCCTAAAAATTGTACTTTCATTTTCAATATTTATTAGTTTTATGTGTAATAAACACCGCAGTCTTCGCGCGCGGATGACTTCTTCGCCTGTTCTGTTCTGATTTT